ATTCCTTGGCCACATTGTGACAGCTTCAGGCATTGAGGTGGATCCCAGCAAGATTGAGGCTGTGAGTAAGTGGGATACGCCAAGAAGTGCTGCAGATGTTCGTAGTTTCCTGGGGTTAGCAGGATACTACAGGAGGTTTATCGAGGGCTTTTCGAAGATAGCCCAGCCACTGACCAACCTTACGAAGAAGGCCGTGAGGTTTGATTGGAGCCCTCAGTGCGAGGAGAGTTTCCAGGAGTTGAAGAGGAGACTCACTACCGCACCAGTTCTATCCATTCCCGACCCTACTTTTGAGTTTACCATCTATAGTGATGCTTCGAAGATGGGTTTGGGTTGTGTTCTCATGCAGCAAGGGAAGGTGGTGGCCTATGCTTCGAGGCAGCTGAAGCCTCACGCGCAGAACTACCCCACTCATGATCTTGAGTTAGCTGCAGTTGTCCACGCTTTGAAGATTTGGCGGCACTACCTCTATGGAGGCAAGTGTGAGATCTTTACCGACCACAAGAGCCTGAAGTACATTTTCACTCAGAAGGAGCTGAACATGAGGCAGCGTAGGTGGTTGGAGCTGGTCAAGGACTACGACTGCACCATTAACTATCACCCTGGGAAACTAACGTGGTTGCCGATGCTCTTAGTCGGAGGAGTCATGGCCAGCTGTCTTGCTTGTTTACCAGGCAGGATGTTCTTCTTCGGGAGTTCGAGCGATTACAGATAGAGACAGTGGAGTCGACTTCGACAGCCGGGGGAATTTTGACCTCTTTGGTTGTGGGACCGACTCTTCGAGAGAGGATAGTCGCCGAGCAACCGAATGATCATTTCTTATGCCGGATGAGAGAGTTGTCAGAAGCCGGTAGAGTTGGAGGATTCGCTGTCGCATCTTATGGGGCCTTGGTCTTCGAGGGTAGACTTTGTGTCTCGAAGGTGTGGGAACTACGAAGGGATATTCTGAGAGAGGCCCATAGTGCCCCGTATACCATCCATCCTGGTAGCACGAAGACGTATCAGGACCTGAGGAAGTCCTTCTGGTGGCGAGGTATGAAGAGGCAAGTAGCGAAGTTCGTGGATGGGTGCCTGGTGTTTCAGCAAGTGAAGGCTGAGCGCCAGAAACCGAGAGGGTTGTTGCAGCCCCTCGAGGTTCCCCAGTGGAAGTGGGAGTGCATCACCATGGATTTCCTGGTAGGATTGCCGAAGTCAAAGAGCGGGTATGATTCGATTTAGGTGATAGTGGATCGCCTTACGAAGTCTGCCCATTTTCTGCCAGTCCGGACGACCATGAAGGCGAGTGATTACGCCGAATTGTTCGTCAAAGACATTGTCAAGCTTCATGGAGTGCCCGTGGAGATTGTTTCTGATCGAGACCCCAAGTTCACATCTCAGTTCTGGAGGACACTGCACCGAGCCATGGGGACGAGGTTGGAGTTCAGTACAGCCTTTCACCCCGAGACAGATGGTCAGTCGGAGCGTACGATCCAGTATTTGGAGGATATCTTGAGGGCTGTGGTCTTGGACCGAAGCCTAACTTGGGAGTATGCCCTTCCGTTAGTCGAGCTGACCTACAACAGCAGCTACCACTCTTCGATCAAGATGGTCCCGTATGAGGCTTTGTACGGACGTAAGGTCCGAACTCCCTTGTATTGGGATGAGGTTGGAGAGAGGAGGATCACGGGCCCGGACTTTGTTCAGAGTACTGCGGCGACAGTCGAAGAAATCCGGAAGACCATCAGATCTGCCCAGGAGAGGCCGAAGGTCTATGCCGACCGGAAGAGGCAGGAGCATGTTTATGCAGTGGGAGATCATGTCTTCTTAAAGGTTTCACCCATGAGAGGTGTGATTCGCTTCGGGAAGAAGGGAAAGCTTAGACCTCGCTATATCGGGCCTTTTGAGATCCTCGACCGAGTTGGGAACTTAGCGTATCGGCTGGCTTTACCACCAGATTTGTCGGGTGTGCACGATGTGTTCCATGTTTCGATGCTTCGGAGATACGTGCATGATCCTGATCACGTGGTGGACTTCGGCGAGCTGCAGGTCGAGCGAGACCTCACCTATGAGGAGGTGCCGGTAGCCATTTTAGACCGGAAGGTCCATCAGTTGAGGAACCGAGCAGTGAGCTTGGTGAAGGTGCTGTGGAGCCGACACGATGAGACCGAGGCAACTTGGGAGAGGGAGGATGGTATTAGGAGGCGTTATCCGAACTTCGAGTTCTGAGTTCTCCTTTGTATTTTATCGTTTTCTTGAGTTTTATTTCGAATTCCGAGGACGGAATTCTTTGTAAGATGGGTAGACTGTAACGCCCCGTTTGATTATGAATTATTGGAGTTATTATTATTATTATTATTATTATTATTATTATTATTATTATTATTATTATTATTATTATTATTATTATTGTTATTATTTCCGGATTAGTTATATAGTACTCGATTATTTGATTTCTGCGTGATTATATTGCTCATTCTACTTTTATTCTTTTTATGACTATTATTTATCAATTAGTCGAATTAGTCGTCTCGAATTTTATTTGTTCGTTCGTTGTAATTCGAGTATGAACTAACCTCTGTCAAACCGCACCCGACTCGAGATCGCGTGCGCCAACCGAGTCGCACGCCATGTCATGTGTCCAACTCAACCCCACCTCATCATGGTCTTGTTGGAATTTTATTTTATTTTATTCCTAGATACTCTTTTGGTCCTACATTTTGTATTATGTGCAAGATGCCTTATCATCTCCTTCACATGGTGTCATAAATATTCCCTCACCCACCACCACATGCAATGGTTATTATCTTGTTCCCTCATGTGCATGATTGACCAAGAACATCTTCTCTCTCTTTCACGTTTTAAAGATCCCATTTTTCCCCATTCACCTTAAGTTCTTCTCTTTTATCTTATCAACTTCCCAACACTTAAAAAATTTGTTCTGATTTTTAGAAAGTCCGGAATTTCTTTAAAAATCAAAGTGGGGTGTTACAGAAACTTCATCGAGTGTTATCGGATGATCGATGGCGGCTACGAGGTTATGTATATATATATATATTTGTCCACCTCAGATCTTCTATTGTACGACCCAACATCTTCTCCGTTCGTCTTGGTGGGCAACAATCTCGGAGATATTTTTATTGGGACTTCTAAGAGAAGAAAAGAGAATGATGGGCGGCTATCATTAGTGAATATGCGTTTCTAAACACATAACCCTAATCTCAATATATGAGATGTATTTATAGGCTACAACAAGGACCCTATAGAGACATTAAATTGGGCTCCCAGTACATTGGCCTAACTTTGGGCGAAGCCCATTCCACTCATATACGAAGAGTACAGTCATTCCACTAAAGTAGTATTATTGCAACTCCCAATTTAATTCTCAAATAAAATTGAGACTCCATTAATAATTACTCGATTTACTTTCCCGTGTTTAAATTATAATGTTCGTCAAATAATTTAATTATTGACAATCAAATAAATCGACATCTTGAACCGAGACTAGTACCACTCAAATCTTTATTATTAAGTCGGAATAAATTCTACTAGCCAGATTTAACTTAATAATCCTACATGAGCTCATCTCGGAGACGCTATCGCATACGGTTACTTTAAATATTCGAACAACCGACATACACACAACACTACTACCCAAAACACGAAGGCTTTTATACACAGAATGGATCTCGCTTTTGGTAAATCAAAGTAGCAACTATTGCATGCATGTGTCTGTTTATATCTTACAGGTTAAGAGTACGCATTAATTAACCGAGCTCTAGTTCGTTTACGACGACCAGTATAAAATGAACTTCTCATCTCTAAGATTCGTTCAATGTACACAATGCACTAGGGCAACTAATCAGTCAAGACAAATTGTATAATAATAAAGAATTTAAGTGGTACTTGTTTAGGAGAAAGAAGTTAATTAAATTAATTAACAAATATATCTTAAAAATGGAGAAATAAATCAAGTCGATAAATTTAGAGTCTCAAATGTGATTTGGGAGTTAAATTAAAAAGTTTCAGTAATATTCCTTTAGTGGAGTGTGATATTATTCTTATGTATTAGGTGGAGGTGGACCAGAACCTAGAAACACCTAATCACAAGAGGAGTTAATTAAATACCTTTTCAAGGTTCCTGTTGTAGCCTATAAATATACTATCCCTCATGGATTTTCGGCTGCCCCTTTAATTTTGTTTGGTTATTCAAGAGCTTAATAAATGAAAAACAAATATTATCCAAGAACACAATACCTTCTTTCTTTTTTATAAATGATTTAAAATATTAATAGAATCTTTTACCGATGAAACCGGATTTCAAGCGAATTTTGCTTGTACCATACATAATTTGAAGAGTAAAATATATTTTTCGTCCTGTATGTTTACCCCTTTAAACATTTTAGTCCTCTTCGAATTGCGTTTTTTATTTTTGTCCCGTATGTTTGAAAAAAGGTTACAAAAAGGTCTTTTTTCATACATAAGGGATGAAATTGGAACACCTTATTGTAAAACATAAAGGACATTTTTATTGCGAAAAGGATATTTCTGTAACATTTTTTCAAACATACGAGACGAAAATAAAAAACGTTATTCAAAGAGGACTAAAATGTTTAGAGGAATAAACATACCGGACGAAAAATGTATTTTACTCTAATTTGAAATGTCCCAAGAAAAATATACTTAATATGTACTATAACTACTTTAAAATTAACAAATTAAAAATATTAAACACGTGAAAATCAAAGTTATTCAAAATTTGAACTTAAATCGACTTACTAAAGAAAATAAGTCAAAGATTTAGATAAACTTTCCACTCCAATAATTTTTTCATCAACCTCTCAGCAGATCACGTACATGTGTCATCCCACACCGACTTCTAATCACTCTAGCGAAGTCCCCAATCGCTCAATGGGTTTCATGATTCGAACTTTCGAAGTGTTTTCTTGGGCTTGATTCTGAACTCGCTGATCGTTGCTGGAGAATACTTTAAGCCGTTCAATGTGAGCTATGATGGCCGAGCAATGATCATTGACGGTGACCGGCGGATTCTAATCTCCGGCGGAATTCACTATGCTAGAGCCACTCCTCAAGTAATTCACTCAACAATTATTTTGTCCGTTTGCTTCGGATAATGGGTTTTATCTTTTCATTATTTGGATTTTAATTGTGAGGCAAGAATTGATTGGACTTCTTGAAACGAGGAAGTTCTTGATAGGCAGTCTGCTACTACTGCTTGGCCAAATTATCCTCAGTTATGGTGTCAGTCACTTCATTCTGCACATTATTGTGATTGTAGTTAGACGGGATTTTGAGTGCTGATTTTTTTACTAATTTATCGACAATCTTGAACTTTCGTTGGAAATTGAAAGTTTCTGTAGTCATTTTGATGCAACAGGGCATAGAATTTGGTATTTATTGCATATAAAGAATTTCCATGCCTCAGAAAAAAACACACACACACAGTTATGCACAATTATGTGTAAATTAAGTTTGTTCCACCAATATGCCTTTTAGTTTTATCGTCTATTTCTTTGTCTTGATAGTTCCAATTGATGTTAGGTGTGGCCTGATCTGATTTCGAAGAGCAAAGAAGGTGGAGTGGATGTTATTGAAACATATGTATTTTGGAATGTCCACGAACCAGTGAGGGGACAAGTATAATTCTTACTCTTGCTTTCTTAACTCAGTTGTATATGCTCATTTCTTCATTCTGAAATTCTCTAACATAGTTTCCATCTTTTTAGTATGTCTTCGAAGAAAGATATGATCTTGTGAAGTTCGTAAAGCTAGTGGGGTCCAGTGGGCTCTATTTATTTCTTCGGATAGGTCCTTATGCTTGTGCAGAGTGGAATTTCGGGTTGGATTCTCTTTCCCAATAATTTAGTTGATGCATATCCTTATTGCTCTAAGAGTTCTACATTTCCATAATAATCATAGCTAAAGCTATTCAGGAATAGTAACTTCTTTGCAATTGATTTTGGCACTGCAAGTATACTTGGGTAGATGAAATCACAATGTTTTCTACATTATAGAGAAGTCACAAGGCACTTCAATTGATGTGATTATGCATATTTGACTCATCCATGTGTTATCATGTCACTGATTGAAGAATTAAATTTTGTTATAGCTTCAGATTTTTAATGAATAAATTTCAAAATGTTTGGTTGGATTTCCTTTAAAGCACCCCCCTACACTAGTTAAAGTTATTCAATGCTCTCATCTATTACACACGTATTTTCAGGAACTTCTTGCTGATTGAGAAGCTTAAGTTTTTTTTAACTTGGTTGTATTGAGAATTTTGTCATAGATTCAAGGTTTTGAATCTCCAGAGATATGATTAGCAATTAGGTAACCTGTAGATATGAAATCAATATTCATTATTTTACATGAATCTGAGGTATATCAGACGATCCTATAAACCAAATTACATTGTTTATTTATTAAAAATACATGTAAGTTTTGACTTGAAGGGCGACTAATGTCTTTAGAATGTGTGGTAGGCTTGTATTGTAATGTCCTGGGCCAGGCCTGAGAATTATCCAAGAGGCCAACAAGAGTATTTTACCCCAAGCCGAGCATATTAACTTTTGAGTTTCTATGGACTAGGTGCAAAACAAGAAGGTTTACCTGTTGACACGACTTCTACTAATCATGTCTTTTAAGACTTTTTAGTTTATCTCATAACATGACTTGGGGTATTGCTATTTACCCATTTAAACTCTCAGAATCCGTCCCAGACACTGGGACTATCCAACTCTGTGGCGTAGTGCTTAGCTCCAGATTCATGCTCTGATACCATTTCTAATGCCTATGATCCCTTCATGGCTGGCAGTAGCCGCTATTGTACCAGCACAATTTGATCATTCATTCCTTAACGAGAGGCTGCTTATCCCATAATTACCCGCTCAATTTTAGAGTTTTTTTGGATTGGGTGCCAGAAAAGAGGGTGCACATGTTGATATGACTTCTACGAATCAAGTCTTTTAAGCTTTCCCAGTTCGTCACGATTGGGATTATTACATGTGCTGTGCATTATGGTAACTATCTCCTTTGTTTACAGTACACTCTTCGATTTGGCCTTCTTCACCGTGAACATTTTCATAATTACAATAGTTATGGGGAATCTAATACTGAGTTAATCATTCCAACAAAATCATAGTTATGATACTAATGGTCAAATCCTACAACATCTTGCACATGAATGGTATGGAATCAAGGACAGTACATACTTTTTTCGTGTTCAGAAGGATAGTTCACATGTTCAACTGCTAAGAACCAAGTAATCCCTTGTTCAGAAGGATAGTTCATATATTAACTGCTAAGCACCCAAGTAATTCCATTCTCGGTTCTCACTTAAAATGCTTCTCTTTATTACTTGGATAAATTCACGTGATTTTATGATGTAGAAAAGCTCGCCTTGAATTTGTTATAAATATTTTCATGTTATACGTTTCATGATTAGTTAATCACTTAATTGCCGAAAAATACACAAATTTGCCAATTTCACAGTTTTAGCACCACCTCTTTATTTTGCAACTATTGAAAAGCTTCAGACTTCCCAAAAATATTTCTTGCGCAATTTCAATTTTATCTATAAAAGTTTAGGGTTTTCTGAGTTGGTGTCTTCTTTTGATATGAATGACCGTTCTTCATGGGTGGCCGAGATCTTTTTTCCATCTTGATATACTTAACACCCCTTTTCAAACTCAATGTGGAGGTAGAGGATCCGAAGCATTGAGTTTGAGCAAGTGAAGCCGATGTTTTCTAGTTTGTGCTCTGGTGAAAAAAAACTGCCACTTGCCGTTGTGAAGAACAATTATTTTGCGATGACAATAAGACCGAGTAAAAGAAGTATCGACACCAATGTATTTTGTAAGCTCATGCTTCACAGGATTATTGGCTCCATTATTATCACAAAAAAAGGTGTACGAGAATCATATGGCATACCAAAATTAGCTAACCATCGAAGCCATCTCCGTCTTTGTGCTAAAGTGCAATATAGCGGCATGCTTCTTGGACATCCGTGTAAGAGGAGAAGATCCAAGAAAAATGGCATAAGGAGTGATAGAACGACGATTTGTTGGATCATTCGCCCAAAGTAGAGTCCGAGTAAGCATGAAGTTGAAGTGGACTACACGAGCATAAAACAAACACTGAGATGATGTGCCCCTTAAATACTACAACACACGAAGCAAATGTCCAAAATGAACTGAAGTAGGAACACTCACAAATTGACTTAATATATGAACATGATGTCCTAGTAACAGTAACATAATCCAATCTGCCGACAATATACTGATATTGAGAGGGATCCTCAAGAGGCATACCATAGTAGGACGAAGCTGCATTTGAACATCCATAGGTGTAGTCGTTGTTTGATTATCAGTAATACCATAACAAACAAGAAGAATTTGTATGTATTTGGATTGAGAAAAGGTAATAGCACGAGTCAGAGTGCATCACCTCAATGCCCATGACGTGGCTAAGAGGACCCAAATTGTACATTTGAAATTGCTAACCAAGTTGTTTCTTGACATGAGAATTATGTTTTGCATTATCTTGTCACCATTTTCGTGCACAAAGGCACTACATCTCTTCTAAGTAAATTATTTATTTCAATTTCACAAAATGAATCCTTTTCCTTCAACGAATACGAGCCAATTCCCCCTCACCGCCATTTCAAATCGACCTTTCTCAATCATAATTTGCAATTTGCAATGAATTTTTTCAAAAATGTGATCTTTCGCAAGTTTAGAAATTCGAGGTTGGTACGTTGCAACTGCATTTTCATATAAACCTACATCGCCAACCATTGAGAAGGAAAGGTAAGATAGTGACAACTTGACCATTGTCGAGGAAACATTAGACTAAATTTGACGACGAATGTCTCACCAAGAAGTAGCTTTATGCATCTACTAACCATGATCCTCGACAACGACCAATCAATCCGAAGATTTTGGATTTTGGTTTGTGAGGAACACAACAAAGAGTTGCACGAAGGTTGGAAAGATTGTAGTCGGGATCAAATGAGCTAACATTTTTATTGCAAAAGTGATCTTCCAATGTCAATTGAAGTCTGCCGAGTTAGACGGCTTGAACCAAAGCGGATCCTTATTTGAATTGAAGCAATCTCAAGACCAAACAATGTAGGAGATGGTCCACGACATGCCTCGAAAAGTGAGAATGGTCTTGAAAGAGCAACCTCCTCTAGACTCTTGGAATAGTCCAAAATGTCGTCAATAAAGACGATAGCAAACTGGTCTAAGTACTGGTGGAAGACGGTTCATCAAGTCGGTGAGGAATTTATCATTCCACGATTTCCCCACGAATGCATCAAGTTTCGCCACCAAGAGGCTCGAGAATTTAAAAGGTGGATCCTTGACGTCTTCATTCTCGACCCCAAATAACACTCTTATTAGCACTCCATCCGAGTCGGACATGAAGTTTTGCCTAGAGGTGCGACACTACTGAGATTGAAGACTTTCAAAAGAGCTAAAAAAGGAGAGGGTCTCGAGACGAATCACAGTCCTTCAATTGCTTGAGAAAATGGACAATGCCCCACTCACTAAAAAACTTATCATGTTGGTTGAATGCAAGCGATCCACAATTGGGGGAGCAATTGTCAAGATTAAGGATTTGAAGGTGTCGAAGTAAAAAGACTCCATCATGATAGCCAATCTCGATGATCTACAATGGAGCCCCGGTCAAAGAGAGCACAACAATTGAAATAGGTTGTTTACATTGTTTGAGCAGTCCTATTTTTCTTTTGGGAGTCGTCTTGGTATGGGCCATTAGAGGTATTGTTCATTAAACCAGTTATTTCGCAAACACAACTCACTTCAACCGTGAAAGCTTGAGCTCGATTTGTTCATTTAATTAAACAACAAGCTGAACTCATTCAGCTAATCGAGTTGAGTTGAGCTTGTTTCCGTACAATTTATTAATAATAATAATAATATTATTATTATTAATATTATTATTATTATTATTATTATTACTGTTATTGTTATTATTATTATATACGGGTCTTAAATGAAACTTCAAACTTGTTAGCGGAAAACGAATTCCTATTTTCGAATGACTAATCTAAGTTTTTAGGTGTATTAAATGAACCTAGTTGAGCCTTTTAATTTTTTACTAAATGACTGAGCTGGGTTCATTATGTTTAATGAACGACCACGAGTTTGAACTTGAGGTACCCGACTCAGCTTGAATACCACCACTATTGGCCATTTAGATTTAGGATTTTATTCTGAGTTGTAACATAGAATTTTAATTTATGTTCCAATCTAAAATTAATGAGAGGTTCCTCGTCTAAAAAAAAATTATGTAATTATTGAAATTTGATAAAAAGAAAAATAAATTCAAAAAAATGAATTAATATGTTTTTTGCAACTTCACTCTTCTCACTTAAGATTGTTTTCATCACACAGCACTGAACTAGCCATTGCTGACATCATCTAGCTATCAAGATAACCACTTCCTCTTCCAACTTCATTGTACCATTGAACATGCTACAAATGATGACAGATTTTCAATTTTTATATGAAATATGGAAGTCAATACTGCCTTTTACCTGAAAAAGGGACAACTGGTTTTGAAAAAAATGAAGATTAGTCTTTATTTAAGTTTGTGCTAAGAGTTTAAATATGTAGAGCATTGATTTATTAATATGTCATCGCCTTGTTTTGGATTTATTTGTAGGGGCTTTCCTGTTTGGCTTCGTGATATACCTGGAATTGAATTTCGAACAGACAACACCCCCTTCAAGGTATTAAAATATAATAATAGTTGAGATGCTCAAACAACATTTAAGGAGATGTTGAATGCTTTGTTTGTGTATTTGTGTTTAACTAATTAAGTATTAGTTATTAACTAAATATATAAGATATGATGAGTATAATTTTATTACTAATTTGTCATTAAAAAAATGTCAAAGTAAGGGCTTTTTAGGTAGAATATTAGTTATTCGTATTTAACTAATTAAATGTTAGTTGTTAACTAAAAATATAAAAGATATGATGAGTATAATTGTATTACTAATTTGTCATTAGAAATATGTCAAAGTAAGGGGTTTTTTTAGGTAAAATATTAGTTATTTACTGAAAATATAAGATAGGATGAATATTAATGTATTACTAATTTACCATTAAAAATATGTCAAAGGGAAGGGCTTTTTAGGTAATTCATTTGGTACAAAACCATTCATTCTTTTATACTAGAATGTATATAGATGATTGACCCAATCAAATAAAATCCCTGAAAGACTGTCTGAAAAGGTTAGTGCGTTAAAAATGTTCTTTTATTAGTTATTTTTTGAAAGATGAACCTGAATTTTCTTAAGAATTATATTATTATTATTATTATTATTATTATTATTATTATTATTATTATTATTATTATTTTTTTAATATGTATAGCTGTATACTATCTAACCATTTTGTAGTGATCTGTTAGGTAACATTGATTCATGAAAATTGAGTTTCTTATGCTTGAGGAGGACCATATGAATCTATTTCCAATGTGTTAGTTGATTTTCTGAAGAACACATTCATATTTGTGCATAGGTGTGTGTACATCTTGTTCTCATTCCTACTATTTCAATTATTCAGTTGCGCTTTCTTTTCTTTTCTTTTCTATTAAAATAGTTTTCGTTTTTCTTGGGCATGCAATCTCAATTGTCCTTGGGTGGCAACTTTACTAGACTTCTCTATTTAAATAGCTTTTAGTGTCAATCTTTGAAGTCCTGGTTATTTTTAGAACTGTAACCACAACGATGTTCTTACTTCTCACAGGAAGAAATGCAGCGGTTTGTGAAAAAGATAGTGGATTTGATGCGGGTGGAGTCACTTTTCTCTTGGCAAGGTGGCCCAATAATTATGCTGCAGGTCTGGAGATACTCGTACATTCCTCTAACTCTGCAAGACTCCTATATAAATGAAATAGAGTACTTGATCACCGTGTACTCTCTCTCTCTCTCTCTCTCTCTCTCTCTATGTGTGTGTGTGTGTGAGTTAGCAAATTAGTAGCTTTGTGTGTTTGCATGTTTGGAAACATGTATTTTCGATGTATAGGTAGGTCAAGATATAGGTTTCAGAAATTGCATTATTGGAATGTTGTAACTTCGTTCGTCAACTTTCCCTGTGATTTTTTTTTTTCTTGACATGACGAGAATCAGAACATGAGGTTTTATGCTGTTTGGTTTCCTTGGGACTCTCAGATACATTGTCTGTCTGACTCTTTTTTTTTTTTTTTCTTATAATTGGCATCTCTTCGTGGCTTTTCTTGTTAGTAGCTTGTAAATATTGTTTCTTCAACTTTATGTTGCAGATCGAGAATGAGTATGGCAATATTGAAAGCTCCTATGGCCCTAAAGGACATGACTATATGATATGGGCTGCCAAAATGGCCAGTGGACTTGGTGCTGGTGTTCCATGGGTTATGTGCAAGCAAGTTGATGCACCAGCAAACATAGTAAATTCATGATTTTCTGGACAATTATTATATTATAATGGAAGAAAACATACAGATACATATCACCCTTTGTGAAATTGCACTATGTTTGTGGTGGCCACCAGATAGTTCCTAGGTGTTGGAATATGAATTTGTATTTATATATTCATGATTTTGTACTTACATATCCTTGACCTAATGTTGGCCATCCTTCTCAGACATTGTGCAATTTATTTTATCTATCAGATAGATACCTGCAATGGATACTATTGTGATGGTTTCAGACCAAATTCCAATACGAAGCCAGCGATTTGGACAGAGAACTGGGATGGATGGTATGACTTTCTTTGATTTTTGTTGTAACTAAAATTAATATTTAGTTCTGATCTGTTCCACGTGTGGTGCAGGAGATTATTATATTGTCTAGCTGTATATAATTTTCAAAACTCCTGTTAGATAATTAAAAGTGACTATGAACACATGAAAAAGAGGGCTTTTGGTAACATCAACAAGTTGATTGTAATGCTGTATGGCAGTACAACAAAAAGCAGCAATATTTTCTATTGGGAGTTTGTCCTGAATTATTGTGTGCTAGCTATAATTCTCACCTCAACTGAAAGGTGTTTCGCCTTATAAAACCTATCTTTGTATATGATCTTTTTATGTCCTTGGATTTCTTAATATCAAGGTACACTAATTGGGGTGACAAAGTTCCCCATCGTCCCAGTGAAGATATCGCGTTTGCAGTTGCTCGATTTTTCCAGCGTGGTGGAAGCTTTCAGAATTATTATATGGTATATCTTTTGCATAATAAGGATGGATTCTGTATAGTTTATGAGGGTCTATGTCCCTCCATATATGTGATCCATCCCCAAATTCCACAATTATATCATATGATTATGGGCTGGTTCACGCCTTATGCTGCTCCTTTCTTTTTAAATCGTGCTCTGCCAAACAACTCATGCTTTCTGGCTAGCATTTGCGATTATTTCATCACATTAGTTTCAGTGGAAACTAAATTTTCATGTTACGGGTTTACAGTACTTTGGTGGAACAAATTTTGGTCGAACTGCGGGAGGCCCAAATATTATTACTAGCTACGATTATGACGCTCCCATTGATGAATATGGTGGGTCTGTCTTTCTTGGTGAAGAAAGTTCTCTACTTTTCTTAGAAAACTCACCACCATCTATGCAGTATAAGACTGTCTGCCATATTTCTTGCTTTTTTGCTTAGCAGTTGTATCACCTGTTTAGGTCTTTTGAGACAGCCCAAGTGGGGACATCTGAAAGATCTGCATGCTGCTATAAAGCTTTGTGAGCCTGCTCTCGTGGCTGTTCTTTCGCCTCAGTATATCAAATTAGGACCAAAGCAGGAGGTACGCGCTATATATACAATTTCCTGACTGTGAACTTAATATATATTCATGTAGGTTCTTTAGTTGTTCAATTACATATTATACTACTCCACAATTTCTTTACTCAATCTTATCTCTCAACTTCCTTCTGGACTCCAAATTGTCTCAAAATGTTCCCATGCATTTGATAGATCATATTAAGTTGTTACAAACGAGATTGTGTGTGGCATGTTTTATCCCTCTTCTGTATCATACGTCATCTCCATCTTAAACTCTCATACTTGTGTAAGACCTTTGTTATTGTAAGACTTTTGTCATTAGGGTATCATTTAGTGGATAATTGCAATCCCATAGATTAACTTTGTTTATTTATTTTTCTTATTTAGTATGCACTTAGACTTGTGTATATATTAATGTGCTTTGTACTCTTATATGTGGAATATAGAGATCACAGCCAATTAGGGTTCAGGCAAAAAAACGTGTTTTAGGCATTTCTTTGTTTCTCACGACTCACGAGAATCCTTTTCTATTTTATATTATTACACAACATAAATTAAATATTTTTTTCTTTCTAATGTTGTTAGTAGTCACATTTAAATTTTAGATGCTATTAGTAATTACATTTAAATTTAATTTAATTTATTTTTTTGGGATATTTAAGGTTAACTTTGGCACTTAAACTTAAATATCTGATATCACTATACACATTATTTTTTCTACACTTTGATGGCTTGTGTTGCTGAGGCCTCCCCATGGCGAATCGCCTCGCCTCGCCATTCGCTATTTAAAACTATGCTTACTGTGATTGTGAATCCACAAGATATTTGCCGAAAAGCAATTCAGCTACATATTTCGTATCAAAAGGATGTAAATAGGCCATTAATTCTGATGCTCCAGACCACATGATGGATAATTCTAACCCTTTTTCTGCCTTTCATCTCCATGCACCCTCGACTCATGTCGTTATTGCTGACGGATCTACCTCACTGGGTCTGGTTACGGTTCTATCCACCTTAAACCCTCTATCTCCCTACAATATGTACTAAGTTAACCTATTTTCTTTTAACCTCCTATCTGTGAGCGAACTTACAAAATCATTTCATAGTTACTATTAGTTACAATGTCAAATTGCTTACTTAGTTACACACTGGTTTTGGCCTTGATCATTTGGTTTGATCGGTTGGGAGAGACGTGAAGTTATTTAAATATATAAACCGAAGCTTGGCAGTTTTTCATATTTTAGTAACCAATTCCATGACAAATTTTGGTGAAGTTTCAAGCATGATTCTAATAAATATGCCTTAAGCGTTTTGGAGTTTCACTTTATATTTCTGTTTGTCATTGGTTATTAAGCAAAGTTCATGGATTGATTTGCTCAGTTCTAAAAATATGCTCTGCTGTTCTTAAGTAGCATGAACTGCAAAATGATTGTGGTTGAACCCACCATACCTTTAATTTTTTGAATTGCTTGATCCTAATTTTCTTGAATGATATGCCATTCTAGACAAAAATGGTTATGCATCAGCTGAAGTACATTTTCCTTGAATTTTGTGGAAAACCTTTTTGTTTTTTAGTTAAATAGAGCGAAAGCAACCATTATTTTGCCATTTCACAACCTATGTGTTCTGTTTCAGGCCCACGTTTACAGCGATAAAGGAAAAAAATGCTCAGCATTTCTTGCCAATATTGATGAGCTTAGTCATGCTGCAGTGAAATTCCGCAATTTTACATACATTTTACCTCCGTGGTCTGTGAGCATATTGCCAGATTGCAGAACCGTTGCCTTTAACACAGCTAAGGTACAATTGCATCTTTTTCTTCTGGAGGACAATGCACTAGGCTTAAATAAACATAAGAGACTTCTGAGTGTTTGCTGCTCTAGTTTCTCTTATAAGCTCTGAGCTAGGCTTAAATGTAACTATGGTGTTCCCAACAAGTAAGAGTTTCAGATTTGCCATGTTTGATATGTTTTTCATACAGCTCCCTCTCACTTGCATGGCATCCTTTGCATTTAAGAATTCTAGTAAAGGTGATGTACATACGAACAACACAAAATTTTGTTGCAGGTGAGCATTATTTCTTGCCGAGTTTTCTGTATCCCAATAACCACCACTGATATTGGCCATTTGGAGGACTCAACTATATGATGAACAACCTGATGAGTGAAAGTTTTCTTGTCAGTAACTGGTGAAACTTGACTTGGGTCTGTAAAATCGATAGTTGAAACAGAGCTGACAGTTTCGATAGCTGTTCATAATGGATTGAAGATGTGAAACGAAAGCACTCTATTGAAAGGCATATAGGCAGGCAAAAATGTCTCTAGGATGTATTTTAGGCTATTAATATTTAGGTGAAAGTGAAATGTAAAATACCTAGCCACTTGCATGCTAATAGATCTCCATATGCAATGTGGAAAGTCGTAGAAATGTATAATCACTTGATACATGTTCACATTTTTTTTACTATTGTGTGCAAGCAGAGAAATAAACAATAAAATGAAGACCGTTTCATTAGACATTCCCCTTTCTGATATTCCCTTTTTTTAGTGATAATCAAAATTTTATTGATTCCAAGCTAATTATTTCAAATAGTTTTCGCCTACTAACTATAACTGCTGCATCCACGCCATACTAAGCTTTTAACTCTGACGTTTGGACAGCTTGGGGTGCAGACTTCAATTAATAGTCATGGGTCTGATGCAGCTTCTTATGTAAATGATCCTGTAAATATGAAAGAATTGTATTATATTTCAAGAAACTGGAGTGCCTTTATGGAGCCAATTGGTGTGTGGGGTAGCAGTAGCTTCACATATCAAGGCATTCTGGAGCATTTGAATGTGACAAAGGACCAGTCTGATTATCTGTGGTATACAACCAGGTATTCTTGTTCATTTTGAGCTAATAAAGAGCTGTGGCTAGTAGGATTATATATTCCTCGAATACTCAGTCCTTAGCCAAGTGAACTGAATGGATCCTATTGATACTCTACGCCTGAAACAAATTCTTCAACAAACTTTGCAGACTGGGAAAAAATGTGTTAGTCAGGCCATTGATAACATGTTAAGTGGAATTACCTCTACTTTGTCTTGTTTTCATATGCGTAAAAAATATGCACATGTACTACTCTAGGAGCAAGTCTAAGAAAGAAAGCTTAATAAGAGAGTAATCAATTGGATTACAGAATTTCCATAATTAGTACCTTATACATTACACAGAATTCAATATTTGACCTGGAATGAATATGTGAATATATAATGTGATACAAAATGTTGAATATGAGACATTATAAAACCAATATTTAACATGACACACATGCCTCATATAGAACAAACCAATGGATCATCTAGATTAATGCACCAATCACAAAACTAAGAAGAACAATAATTTTAATTAATAATTATGTTTAACTTTTATTTTTCTCAATTGGTGATCTGCAAGGTCGGACCAAATGGTAAGGATATGAGCTGTCAAGTTGTATACTAATAAAAGATTGTTTAATAGAAGATACTAGTACGATACACGTGTACTACACGGGTACTTAAATATATTAATATTTGTACAATAAAAAATAAAATAATTTATATTTTTATTGTAAAATTATGTATGATGAGAGTATACAACATTAATAAATAGCTAACAGAGTGATAACTATTTCAAATGGTGTCTTGTATTCTTACACTAAACTGGTACAATAGTACAATACCTGTGTACTACATGGGATTGTACAAAAACAATTAAAATAATTTATATTTCCTTTGTGAAATTATGTTTTATGAATATGCAACAATAATAAAGAACTAACAAATTGAAAATTAATTCAATGGTGCCCGTATTTTTACACTAAATTTGTCATATTTAATTATATAAAATTTTAATAATTTTTTAAACATATTTTTAAAATTATATGTGTAAAATTGACAATATTTACAACTCCATATATTTGATTTTTTTTATATAAAATTTTTTTTCTTGTATTGTTATTATATTTTATATTTATAGAGCCAATGTCTCACGTGTATTAATTTTTCAAGAGTTCTAAATTTATAAAATTTATAATTTATAATTTACGTAAAAATTTATTATTTTCTAACTTTATGAAATAAAAAATTATTTTATTATACTTAATTATGATGATATTATTTTATATTTTTAAAATTATATATGTGTAAAACTGCTAATATTTACAACTCCATATATTTGGTTTTTTTATATAAAAGAAGTTTTATTGTATTGTGATTATATTTTATATTTATAGAGCTAGTGTCACGTCTATTAATTTGTCATGTATTTTAAGTTTATATAGTTTAAAATTTAGAATTTACGTAGAAATGTATTATTTTTTAACTTTATGTAATACAAAATTATTTTATTATATTTAAATATGATATTCTTTTAAATTTAGTATTTTAAATAACATAATAACATTAAGTTTTTTTTTTTTACATAATCTATTTGAATTGAGAAATAATACTTTATAATATTTATTAAAATTTATATTATGTAATACAACAACATAACCTTTTTGTCCCAAGCAAGTTGGGGTAGGCTAGAGATGAAAACCCAAGATAACCAATGGTAAAAAAAACACAAAAAGAGCTCAAAACAAAAGGAAGAGATTGGAGCAAAAGAGAAAGGAGCAAAAGTCAAGGTTCTGGCACGTTGATTGCTAGCCTCCAAGCGCTCCTATCTACCGCTAAATCCTTGGAGATATTCCAATCTTTAAGATCTCTCTTAACCGTCTTCCCAAGTGAGTTTAGGCCGACATCTACCTCTCTTTACATCATCGACCTGCTGTAGAACTCCCCACCGCACCGGTGCATCAGAGGCCTCTGTTGGATATGTCCGAACCACCTCAGCCGATGTTGAATTAATTTCTCCTCAATTGGAGCCACCCCGACCCTATCTCGAATCTCATGAAAAAATATAATTTTTATTTTTTTCCCATTAAAAATTATAAAATGATTATTTTATGGTGTATTAATTAATTAGATTTTTATTATTGATAATAAAATTATTCTATTTATAAATATAGATGCAATTATTATTATTTTATATATTTAATATGAATGTCAAATTAAATGTCGTTCGATATGGTTCCTAAACAACTATAAAAAGAGAGGAGCCAAATCAGTACATTTCGTTGAATAGTCAGAGAGAGAAGAGAGCCCATAAGTAATAGCGATTATTATCTCGTCAGGCCCAAAAGCTAAGACCATATTTACAGGTTTTTTTGACCAAAAGGATAGGTTTGAAGATGCCTGGTACCTAAACAAATAAATGTTAGGACTGAAACAAGCTACTACTAAAATCAAAGTAGAAGCTACAGTTGAAAGGAACAAACTTTTCGAAGCGAAGTGCATATATAAAAAATAAATCACAAATAAAAAAGTTATAAAGTTTTTAAAAATAAAAAAATACATATTTTTAATAACTAAAATGTGATTTAAAAAAAAGGTAACAGTAGTATATGGTTTTGATTTTAAACTATATAAATCACGTATTTTCACTACACAAACAAAACTAGAGAACATAAAGCAGCCAACGACTGAACATCTGATTAGGGAGGACTACACTTACAGACAGACGGCAGCCTACAGCCTAAAGTCAACCTATAACACAACACAACTAAAAAGCTCCCAAAATGGGAATTAAATTAAAAACAAAAAACTTCCATCAGGAGAATACACCTAACACACACTCCTAACGGAAGAGAAAAAG